ATTTCATTCAAGTCAGACCATCTTCTTATTCCAAAAGAGCATCGTGAAAGTGTTATGATCTTCTATCTCTTCGAGGCCATGCTTGATGAAAAAGCAAGAAGGAACATTTTTAATTGTTGGGCTGAGAAGGTCGATGAAGATGGAAAGGAAGGTAAAGTTTTAACATGTCATTGAAACATTTATTAGCTTGCGTAGGACGTTTTATTGGAAATTTCTGTGCAGTAAGTTAGCCGAACTTGTGGAAAAAAATTTAAAAAGTAAGGAGCCTATCGCCTTCTTATTTCGTCTGAATCTATATACTTAAACGCCTGGAAAATCCTTTTTCTTCAATAAACTTTTGGTGTTAAGAGAATATTCTCTTGCAGGATGATCATCGATTAATCGTTCTTTTACGTATGATGCATGATCCTCGCAGTAGAAAGCGCTATTTATGTAATAGCGAAAATCAGACCTGAAAAAAATCAGGCCGGTACGGGATTCGAACCACTGACCCCTGCGATACTAGTGCAGCGCTCTACCAATTGAGCTAACAAGCCAACTGGGAGCAGGCCGTTAAGTTGATTCGTAATAAACCCGTGATGATGAATATATGCACTTCATATATTCATTGTATCTAATCGTTCTTTTGTTGCACCTACGACTTTAAGAATAGTTCTTCCGAATGAGACAACGATCACTTTATTGCTCACTTACTAAATAATATGATTGGTGGCTGTTTGAATGATTTATTGATTACATGGCTGATTGATTTTGGTTAATCTATTAGATGATTGAGGATTTGATTGCTGCTTGACTTGTCTCGAAGATCTCAAAACTACCGCCAATTTCCGCCAATTTCGTTTGTGTGGCTATTTCTCTGCTTATAAAAGCATCTACGTCGTATACCGCGCCCTCTATAGGATAGAGTTTTCAAGGTGAAGTTAGGGTATAGTCATGAATCGGTAGGTTTCGTCTCATTTTGGTTGACGTAGCTAAACAAGGTCGTTCTGTCACAAATTACGCTTTTCATTGCCTTAAAAAGGTTAAAAAGAATCCTCATCATTGTCGTTGCAGATTACGTCAGGGCTTGAAGACAAGGAAGAATCCTTACCCAAACTTTCCTTAAATGTTCTCCCAGGCTAAGTTTACCATCAGTAACCAACTAATGGCAAATATAAATGTACTCTGATTATTAATGTGCATATGTACTTACAGGTTTAAAATCCCGACGCTTCTGCCAAAACTTCGGCATTCATTATGGGGTACTGAGTGAAAAGAATATTTACCAAGGGCAAAAAATGTCATTCTACTTTCGTCTCTCTAGGTTCCTTACTTCGAGCAGAACTAAAATGCAGAGAAGCTTTGATAGTTCTTAAACTTGAGGGATGGCAGAGAGCATTAGCAGTCGTGAAGAGAGCTAAAGAGTCACTAACCACAGTACAGAAGGAAACTAAGAGAACAGATTTCTTTAGGTTGACCAAGAGTTCGTACCTATACACTGAGGGTGAAGTGTATCACAGAGCAGGAAATATGCCAAAGTCGCTGAAGATTTTACACCGGGCGTTGAGGATAATGCAAGATGTACTTCATAGCCACACAAGCACTTCAAGGTGCTTAAACGCCATTGGAAACTGCCACAACAAGTTGGGAGAACATGACGAGGCCATAAAGTACTACACGAGAGCGTATGATATGAGACAAGAGCTCTCTGGCTCTATGAAACATTTTGACATGCCGTTCTTCAAAGGACAAATCGGAACGGTTTATGAAGGAAAGAAACAATTTGAAAAGGCCATCGAACACTACAAAGAGGCCTTAGAGCTCGCAAAGGAACTGAAAATCCCAGGCATGGTGAACACTGCGCTGTACAATCGAAACATTGCTAACGCGTACTGTTGGTTGCGAAATTTTGACGACGCCTACCAACCTGCAAAGAATGGTTACGAGATTCGTAAAGTCATTTTGGGAAAGCATCCTTGGACCGCTCGAAGTGCTTTCCAGATGGCGGAGATTTGCCGAGACTTGGAGTACTTTGACGAAGCAGAAGAGTTTTATGAGGAAGCATGGGAGATTGAAAAATCTCTTGGCCAAGGAAACCACAGCGAGGTCATGGTCAGAATCGTTAAGAGCTATGAAACGTTCCTTCACAAAGGAAAGAGGAAAGATCAGTTTCGACAAGAAGCATTTGACTTTTATCTACGCTACTGGGACGAAGAGAGAGCCTTCGAAGGTTTTGAATTTTCTCCACCAAACAAGAAAGTCATAGATTCAATAAACGAAAGGCTTAGTGAATTTGGTGACAGACAAACACAGAAGAGATACCAAGAAGAAGCTCTATGGTTTTATGAAGGCGCGTGGAATTCACCTGACACGAGAAAGTTACCAGATACCGAGAGAGAGGATATTCTGCAAACTCTCTCGAGGCTTTGTCACCAGCTTCGCAAAAAAGATATGGCAACGAAATACCGCAACGAACTCTTTCGATTTTACGAAAAGAAGTGGAAAAGAGATAAGAAAGGAATGTCAGAGCGCGACAAAATTGACATTCTCATCACTCTCGTAGAGATGGCTACATCACTGATGAAAGAAGAGAAGAAACTGAAGTATGAGAGTTTGTTAAAGGTAAGACCAAACTCTTTAACCTATCAATGGATGACATCAACTTGAACGAATTTCAGTTTGGTATGGATGGTAGCATAATTCGTTAACTTTGATTATTTGTTTTCACTCTGTTATTGGCTGAACCGAACAACGTCGCAGAGACTTTGTCCTTAGATTGTATTTTGTGATTCAATTGTGGCTATCCTTTACACGTTAATTAGATTTGGATAAATGGCTTTTTTCTGAATTTTTCGCTTTTTAATTCTTACTCAGAAAGCCAGACAGAGCGGAACTTTGATGGGAGCTATGAAAGGATTCTTTTCTTCTGGAGCAGAAGGTATTTGATGATAGAATATTTTGACCTTCAGTCGCGTATAAATCATTGACATATTTTGATATACATGCATACATGCGAGCGTTTTTAACTAAGATGCTATTTCCAAGATAACTCGAATGTATTTTGTGATTTATAGACACTACAGAGGCGTAGGCGGGTTCATTGTGACGCCTTTCAAAATAATGTTTATCAAAAAGAAATATTTTATTGTTAAAGCTGAGCAGATGTCTAGTGATGATGATGAAGACGAAGATGACTTTCCTCCCGATGATGATGATGATGATGAGGATGATCCCGATAGTACTAGCGATGGCAGCGATGAGATTCCAGAAGTGATCGGGCAGGTGGAACAGTTAGCAGTTCAAGAAGAAGAGGGAGAAGAGTTAGAGAGTGAGCAGCAACAAGATCCAGACAGGATAACCTTACATGAGTAAGTGGAAATCAGAATAGGACTAATTCTCAAATGAAAAACGCGGTTATTTAAAAATTCTTGTATGAGGGCCGTACGCGATGTCGCGAGCAGGAACAGGAAAAGCTATAAGTTAGTCCGAGATGTGAGCCGAAAGAAAGAAAAAAGAGTAAAGAAAAAGATGGACAGTTTTGTGTCGGCTTGGGTTCTTATTGTCGGCTTGGGTCGGCCCGGACGAGAAAATTGTTACTTCTTGGGAAAAAAAAAAAACGAGTTTTGACTCTTACTAAAATTCATTAATTTTTTTCATTCTTTTTGTGAGTTCAGAAGGTCAGCAGATGGCTACCTTCTTAAGCGAATACAGGGGGAAATTTTCCCAAGTTTTGTTAACGCGAGATATACTGGATCTGATGCTGGTAGCCGGCTTACATTCCAGCCATTGTAGCGAAAAAACTGGACCAAAACGAAGGCAGTGTTGATGACACAATTGAAAAGTGATTCCATTCTAACCTCTTCACCTCATGGCTTGACGATTATTTTTAGAGAAATACTCACTAGCAAGGACGTAAACTGGAATATCAAGCAAGGAGCTGTGCACCTAGCCTTTCCTCGTGACGCTGTATCTGAGCCCACCGTGATAACGGTCCATCGATGGAGACCCACAGTCCTGTGCCCTCCTTTGCAGGAGCACGAGACTCTTGTCAGCAACGTGATTGAAATTTCTTCCAGCAGTCAGGAAGCTTTCATATTTGAAGCTGAAGTTAAGATTTCCTTCACTCACAGTTCTCCCGGCCTACACGGCTACGAATTGGTGTTGTACAAACTGATCCACAACGAGACTGCTGCATGGGAAGAAGTGATTGGTGTGGAAGAATTCAGAACTATCTCAGGTTGGAGGAAAAGCCTTTAAATTTGCTAATACTTGATTAGAGAGAAGGAACTGGTTGCATCGTTAAGTGTGTTGGTCCAACATAGGCGGATTTGTGAGAAAACTTACATCCACGAATATCTTAACATAGGGTGGCAAATTTGGGGTTTCACGAAATGAAAGAAAAAATTACGGAGCACGTACAACTCAGGAGGCAAATCATGCCTCACGCTAGTTCATAAATTCACGAATCAAGTACGCTTGCCTTTCTGTTAAATTCAAGCGTCACATATTAACTGTTGCCTTAATTACCTGTCACGTATAAAACCTTTTACTACCCTCTTAGCATGGCTTATGGTAGACACGGAATAAATATTTACACACTAAAACGCTTTAGAGACATTTTACTATAGCGACTCTTGATAATGATGGACGATGATCATTTAGCGACGTTTACACCAAAACTAGGAGCTTTTAAGCGTGCGAGGATCTTTTATCTTTTCTCTGAGCTAGCTTTCCCTAAAGGCTAAGGACCGGTCATTTACACGGGTCTAACTCAAACCATGGTTGCACGCAATCAGTGGGCCCCAGGTTTTTTCTATTAGAAAGGTTGGCTTTCGGCTTTTTTGACACTGTTCAAAAAAATGAATGCTCAGATAAAAGGTTCAGCTGAAGTAAGGATTGTTAAGGACGCGGTTTTGTTAAACAACGGCTAAACTTTTTTTTTTTTTTAATAATCAAACCTAAATGTTCACACTTCGAAACATCTAAGAATTCTCATTAATCTACTCCCATTCAGTCTTTCACTAGGTACTTAAATAATGGCTTTAACCAAATTTTTCTTGTTCTCTGCTTTATTGTAATAGATTTTGAAGAAGAGAATAAAACTAGCCAAGAAATTCCCAATTTACACTTCCCTGTTGTACAAGCGGATATCACAGAATGCGCCACATATGCAGTAGTCAGTCGTCTCCATCTTTCCCCTGAATTCACGATTACACCAACTGGCGGTTCCTTCATCATGCCTGAATATCCAAGTGTGAGTGTTACTATCCCGAAAAAGGCTGTTACTGCGAAAACAAGGATTCCTCTTGGAATGAAGGTACAGACGTTTCCTGAAGGGCATCTGTGTCATTACAATAAATGTGCGTGATTATCTTTGATATTTGGTGGTGGAAATGTCGAGTCGTTTGGCAAGCGAAGTTATATTGATAAGATTCGGTAGATTTTGGGACTAAAAAGTTTTGGTTCCCTGAAAATGTACTCTGAGTTTATTGCTTGAATTAGTTTAATGTCTTCAACTGTTGGAGGTACTGTGACACGTAAACATTGAATTTTCCATTTGCTTTACCCTAACATAGCTCGTTCTTTACCCTTATGAATTCTTGCGTTTCTCCTTTCGACCTATTTTGCCTTTAGGTGCAAGAAGTACCAGGTGAAGAGTTTAAGGCTAGCGATATACTTATTGGACCTGTACTGCGAATAGTGTGCGACGAAATGGTTGAGTTCTTGAAGCCTGTTACCATCACACTGCCAGTTTCTTTGGGAGACACGCACCACGACTTTCCTGATCCAATGGCATGCCGAGTTAGAATATTGTTTCTGAGTTCTGATGGTGAGCAGAAGGAATGGTTGGACATCACTGAAGATTTGAAGAACCCTGTGACGTTCGACGGGATGACAGTCAAATTCCAGGTGGAGCGCTTCTCTGGGTACGTTTGTTTATTAATTGCACCCTATGTGGCCGGTTTCCAAAGCGAAGTAAGCCCCAGAACATGTGAACCCCTAATGGGGGTTTTTGTGGACGGACTAGTCGGGGGGATAAATTGTTATTTTCTCGTTAACAATTAGAATATGTTAACCTCAGAACTCTCCCACAACTAAGTAAATTTTCGATTAACTTTTAGCCAGGGTTAACAAAATATCGAGGTGGAGATGATTCATTAAGTGAACACCCAGCTGTGGACAGTTTTTGCAAGTATTTGGAAAAATTGTTCCGTGCCAGTAAGGCACTAGAGCTCCTAACTGAGCCAAGGAATCTCCATTTTCCCCTTCAAACGTAAAGACAAGCAAACTATAGACAGGGCTGGACAAAAAAATTAGTTCAAGATCTACTTTATGGAACGAAACCTTGCCTTACAAGGACTGTCTTTTGCACTCAGGCAAAAGGCAGTCCTTGTAACTCACAGTCCTTATCTGCTGTTTCTTGAGTAGACGTTGCTGACAAACACAAAGACGGCTCTCAAGAAGAGGAGTGTACTTATGGTGGCAATATGGAGCTAATCTTGCAGTTTATGTACGTTTCTTTCGCCTCTTTTACAGGTATTCGTATCTTATTGACTGGTCTGCAAAGAGCCCCTGGTATCAAGGTGTTATCGGATATCTGTCGAGCCTTATTGGGACCCAACCTCAGCTGGCAGTGTTCTTCGCTTACTTCCCACTCGAGGACCGCCCTGACTCTCAAGACATCTTGTACCTAATTTGCTGCCCGTCTCAGCTTAGAGAAAAGGTGCGAGATGAAATTACGAATCAGGCTAATGTACCAA